GAAATGTTTTGTGGATGGATGAGACCAAAATAGAACATTTTGGTTTAAATGAGCAGTGTTATGTTTGGAGAAAGAAAACACTGCATTCCAGCATAAGAACCTTATCCCATCTGTGAAACATGGTGGTGCAGTATCATTGTTTGGGCCTGTTTTGCTGCATCTGGTCCAGGATGGTTTGCCGTTATTGATGGAACAATGAATTCTGAATTTTACCAGCAAATTCTGAAGGAAAATGTCAGGGCATCTGTCTGAGAACTGAATCTCAAGAGAAAGTGGGTCATGCAGCAAGACAACGACCCCAAACACACAAGTCGTTCTACCAAAGAATGGTTAAAGAAGAACAAAGCTAATGTTTTGGCATGACTGAGTCAAATTCCAGACCTTAATCCAATTGAAATTTTGTGGAAGGACCTGAAGCAAGCAGTTCATAGGAGGAAACCCACCAACATCACAGAGCTGAAGTGGTTCTGTACTGAGGAATGGGCTAAAATCCCTACAAGCTGTTGTGCAGGACTGATCAGCAGTTACAATGAATAGCAGTTACTGATCATCACTTTACCTGCAGTTACTGCTGCAAAAGGGGGTCACACCAGATACTGAAAGCAAAGATTCACATACTTTTGCCATTCACAAACACCGGATCATTTTTCTCAATAAATAAATTACAAAGTATATATTTTTGTCTCCTTTGTTTGATTGCATTCTCTTTGTCTACTTTCAGGATTTGTGTGAAAATCGAATTATGTTTTGGGTCATATTTATGCAGAAATATAGAAAAATCTAAACGGTTCACAAACTTTCAAGCAGCACTGTATGTCCTTGTAAAAGCACTCATTATAACCAATGTTTTTGTTGTGCTTCCTTAAATCCCAGCATTTCCGTTTATAGTAATTATTAGAGCCTTTCTGTCACATTCATCTCACTGACTAAGTTTCACAATCAGTCATTTTACACTGCCGCCCTCGTCTATCTATTTCTGCGAGTCTTTTTTGTTCATTAGTATTTTTAGTGGCGATGACAGACCATGTCATATCCCAAACAGTTTATAACACTGAAAGGATGTTCAGAGAGAGAGAGAGAGAAAAAGAGATAAAGAGCAAAAAATGATGGAAATAATTTGAAAAGAGTGTAAATAGCCCACTCACTTCAGTTAGAGTTTAGATTATTACATTCTGCAGGATTTGTTATTTTGGTATTTTAGCACACACACACACACACAGGTTTGTTTTTGTGAAAAGTGGGGACATCCCATAGGCATAGTGGTTTTTATACTGTACAAACTGTATGTGCTATTGCTCTACACCAACCCTACCCCTAAACCTACCCCTTACAGTAAACTTTGTGCAATTTCAGATTTTCAATAAAATAATTTTTATTATTTTCAATAATATAATTTTTCAGCATTCTGTGTGATTTATAAGTGGGGACATGGGGAAATGTCCTGAAAAGTCACCTTCTCCTTGTAATACCTATGTCATACCCTCATATATATATATATATATATATATATATATATATATATACTGTATATATACTAACAGTCAAATTCTGGAATAATTAATGTTTTCAAAAGGAATCTCTTATGCTCACTAAAGTTGACTTAATCAGAAACAGTAAAAACAGTAAAAATATGAAGAACTATTACAATTTAAAATAACTGTTTAATAAAGTGTTATATATTCCTGTGATAGAAAATCTAAATTATCAGCATTCATTTCTTCAGTCTTCAGTGTCATGTCTAATATGCTGATTTGGTGCTCAAGAAACATTTGTTATTATAATCAATTTAGAAAACAGTTGTGCTGCTTAATATTTTTGTGGAAACTGCTACAATTTTTTTTTTTCAAGATTCTTTAAAGAACAAAAAAGTGGGCTTTGGGTTCAACTCAAGAGCAAATCTATGCTGTATGCTGTACTTCACTGTAGCTGACTCTGACTGTTTTATGTAGATTGTTTTCAAGTAGCCAGTGGTTCTCAACTAGGCAGCTGGGACTCACTAGGCAGCCTCAGCAAGCCTAGCCAAGAGGGCCACAATACGCTTTAAATTTAAGTTTAGTTATATATAGTTACAGCATAATCTTAATTACAACGCTAAAAAATAAAAATAAAGATGCACAACATCAAACTGACATTTTTTAAACTTTATTTAGCATGTGTATCTGGGTGCAAAGCTTTATACAAAACACCACCTTGTGCGCCATCTGCTGGTGCACCTTGAGTAAATGTTTTACATCTATAACAAATATAACAAGTTTTAATTCACAAAGCTTTTAATGCCATGTCTGGGCTACTAATTTGTAATTTTCTTCACTTTTAGGCAACCTGTAACAGGCCCTCTACATAGAACCATAGTTAAAGTGCAGTTGTTTATTAATTTACAGGAAGCAATGTTTCAGGACGTTTACAGGTTCTGGCAAGATTTTGAGAAGTTATGAACCAACATTACAACAGTAACAAATTCAGTCAGTTTCACTAAACTTCTTATAAATATTCCCTTTATCTGGAGTAATACTGATATATTTGTAAAAGAGATCTTACAGACAGTAGACTAAATAACAGCTACTTCATTAGGAGCACCGAGGAGGATGTGATTCACACAGTGTCCAGCAGAGGGCTCCTACAACCAACGAGCATGTAAACATTTGCGGAGTATTGTTTGTGCACATGTATGGATTAACTGCTTAGCTGGCGTTATAGTTAGTTGAAGATACAATCGGCATAGGCGTAATTTGCGGGTGGGACGGGTGGGCCATGTCCCCACCACTTTTTGCCAGGGTTGATATTGTCCCTACCACTTTTTGAAAGTAATTGAAAAATATATTGCGGAAGGTATGTATTAAAGGGAAAACAAGATCAACAAATCATTCTTCATAATCTAATTAGGGTGATAAAAAACAACAACAACATTTGACTCCTTACGCATGCATAACTCGTGCAGTGTAATAACAATGTGATTTGACTGTCGCACTTTTCGTGTCATTAGGTTATAGCATTTTATTTAAAAAATGGAGAGCTTCCTTGTGCTAAGTAGGCCTGCCCTCTACTAAATATTTTTCTAGTCAACTAGTCGCACGTTATATTAAATTGATTAATATATTAACCATACTTAAATATAGGCTATAGGCAGACGTATTAGGCTAGAGCTTATTCTGCGCTCAAGCTCGCGCATAAAGCAATTGCCTCAAAGCACCGCCAAAGTGATTATGAACGTGTCGGGGGAAAAGAAGGCATTTTAATGATTTGTTAATAAACTAGTGCTTTCTGAGTCAGTGTCGGGTGCAAAGATGAGGTTGCCGAATGCTGACTCGCCATCTCCACATGGCCTTTAATAGAAATGCACCTTTTCAAAATTAAAGAATATTACAAAATCGAGTGGACGAGTTTTCCTTATATTTATTTTATTTTTCATATAAAATTATAATAACCTGTTTTGGTTATATTTACTATTAATTGCAGAAGGTGCGTTCAGCAAAAATGATGCAAATGTTGATGGTTTTCACGCTTAAGTCAAGTAAAAGACCGCTTCTTAAACCAGAGAAGGTGAACATGTTGGTATTCTTGTGAGGGGAAAAAAACAAACAAGCACTGTCACCGAAAGCAAGTTTAGTTTTACTTTTCTTTTTGTTTTCATTTTGAAAAGCTTATCTTTGATGTTTACCTCACCTTATGCTATGGAGGCTCTCTCTCTCTCTCTCTCTTTTTTTGATTCCTCAGTGTTTGCTAAACATTCTGTAATTTATTAGTCATTATATAGCCTAATACAGCGTGTAGGCCTATGCCATACCTCATCTTATTCGTTTTTGTTAATAACGTTTTGTAAGCTAGTTTGTAATTGAATCTTACTGTTTTATTGTTGTTGTGCATTTTAGTTAAAAATAATGAATCCATCTTTTTTTTTGTCTTGAAAGGTGTATAGTTGTAAGCTAAACAGACAATTATATTTTATTGTAAAACCTGACAAGATCGTGAAATCGAAAGTGAAAGCATCCGAAGCCCGGCTTATAACATGGCAAAAGAGGAACTCCCGTTCACAAAATTCAAATCACAAATAATACTACTGATGAAAAAGAACGGGTTGAATGTTAACTACTTTCGTTTCCATATAACTATAAACTACGATAAAAGTTCATCAGCATGCATTGATTAATAGCATGTTGTTGGCAAAAAAAAAAAAAACCTGCTGTGCAACCAACTGAGAAAGTTAATCGCAAAAGAGCAAGCAGTGGGAAGAATGAGTCTGGAGCCCTGAATTGCCCAGCTCCCTCTGACAATGATCTAGCACCCCCTCAGCACCTGCGTTCAAAATTATCTGGAGCCGCCCCTGGTACATCGATGTATTTTTGAAAAGCAAAAATTAAGTTTGTCCAACTGTAAACCCAGTCCCCAAGTAAATTCGTTTATTAAATAAAAAAAAAACTAGCAAAACGAGTTGCGCGGTGTCCCCACCACTTTTCAAAGCAAAGTTACGCCACTGACAATCGGTATTTACTAGAGTATATATTCATTTGCAAATCAAACAGATTTGACCTGTTTGGTCAAAAAAAAAAAAAGCATGTCATATCACATTTTAATGGTGGTCCCTTTATGATTTATAATATCTTTATGATTGATATATTCATAGTCTTTTATATATATACAGTGGGGAAAAAAAGTATTTAGTCAGCCACCAATTGTGCAAGTTCTCCCACTTAAAAAGATGAGAGAGGCCTGTAATTTTCATCATAGATATACCTCAACTATGAGAGAAAAAAATTAGAAAAAAAATCCAGAAAATCACATTGTAGGATTTTTTAAGAATTTATTTGCAAATTATGGTGGAAAATAAGTATTTGGTCTTAATTTTTTTGCAACAAAAACACTGGACGGTGGAAGATAACCAGTGCCTTCATTTTTCATATTTTCTTCGTGTAATGTTCACGGTCACAAGGCTGACTACTTATTGCTCCTTATTAAGATCCAGCAACTAATGTGCATTAAAAAAATAGTAAAGAGGATGGGGAAGTGGTCAATTTCCTGCTATGAACAGGAGAGATAACACACCGCATACCATCACAGGGTCAAGAGTCAACCTCTGCAAAACAGGTTCACTGAAAGGTTAGTAAAATATTTCTTTCCACCATACATTGTGTAGTTTTGTAAAGAAAAACTAATAAGAAATAGAAACCAGTTTTCAAAGTCATAGGTCAGGTATAGAGGGCTTATGAAGAGGCACTTTTGTTGGAACTGGCTCGCTGGGCTGCTTGACGCCGACAGTGCAGGTAAACATAAAGAGGGTTGATGAAGGCCAGGAGACTCAGAACGGTCAGACCGATGTTCACCTAGAGAAATCAATTATTACAGTTTAAATCAACACTTGATCGAAAACAGGGGCTTTTTAAAATGTCAGAAATTCTTTGAATAAACAGTTCTTTTGTTTTTTTCTTGATGGGTGTGTGAACAGAACATAATCGTTTCAAACTTCTCAGAAAAATGACAAATATACTGAATCTTTGTCTGCCAAACAAATGTCTTTCATTGCTTAGGACTAGAGGATTTCAAACGATAAACAGCTGTTTCTTATTCTGAAGCTGACTCCAACCTTTTTTCTTCCTAAGAAATAGAAAAATGTGAGCTGTTTGTCAGACTTGAATAGGCTAAGAGAAACAAGTTCCAAGGAAAGACAAAGCCATAGAAATAAATAATAATAAAAAAACGACTCAATAAACCATAATCAATATTTCTGTGTACATATCTGCAATAATCACACACTATGAAAGCTAAAACATGATCTCCACTGGAAGGTTATAATACAGTTGGGTCATTTGCATGTTTATTTTAATCTAAAGTTGTGGTCACATTTACTGTTGTTCTGTGAAATTTCACAGGTAAAATCCTGTCATTTAAATAGGAATCAACATAATCAGTCATTTCACGTGAGAGCGAAAGATTTTGCAGTGCAGATTTTGCAATGAGTTCAAGTTGGATTTTCTGAATTGAACGTGACTTCTACGTGAACTCATATATCGCTACACTATTGACAAGAGACAATGGATATTTCTTTGCCAGTGAAATTTTGCTAATGTGACCTCACCTTATCACAAAATGCACGTACGTGTGGGAAGGACAAACTAAAAGCATTCAGAAGCTTACATAAAAAGGGTCTCCACCCAGTGGTCCTTTAATGAGAGTGAAGCAGGGATACTGGAGCAGTGAGACCACAGCTGAGAGAGCCATCACCATTCCATATAGCTTTCCGAAATGTACGGATGGAAACCTGAAAAATAAAAACTACCTTCACAAACATATTCACAATTATACATAAACTACTAATACCTGTACTTGCAGATAATCTAATATTAATGAAATAAAGGGCCACTTAAGTGTACTTAGAGACTACACTGTCATGACTGGATTTTAACACCGTTAAATGCACATTTTAAAAATGCACTTTTTTAATAATGTTTTACTTTAAAGTACATTTTAAATCATTTTAATAACCTTTTGTCATGCTTAAAAGATGTTATTTAATACATTTTAAATAGTTCTTCTCTAAATAAATTATTAAAACAAATCAAACTTACTAATGCCTCCCCAATCTAATTTGCGTAAAAGTTGTTGTGTGACAAATCTGCATTTTAGCAGATAATAGCCTATACAGTATATACAGTTTGTCTGTTGCATAAATGGATATTCAGCATTTTTTACAAAGTACACCAACTGCAGATAAATCTGGACCTAACCAATGATGATGATGAAAAAGATGATGATGCTAATGCCATGCTTGATGACTATGACCCGGACAATCTCATAAAGGTGAATCAGATAGCAGCTCAGTGTTCTACATTTATGTCAGGAATTTAATAAATGCTCTTTTTGGTCTAGGGAGTGAGTTTTCTAATGTTTTCATATAATGCATACTCAATACTTCCAAAGAAAATGTGATTTTTCATCATATGACCCTAAGAAAATGTGTGCATTTACGTGCTGACCTGGTTCTCGCTGCTTTCCTTTGTGGCGATCCATGATGAGACCATTCCAGGGGGCACACAGGATCCCACACAGCTGAGTAAATGCAAACGCATTTGTGTATCTACTGACTGTGAGCAAAAACAACATGACTGTTTACAGCCGAGAAAATGACAAAAACTCAAGCTCATGAGTTTACACACATGACACAGTCTGAGCCTGTTGGCATGTCTATATCTGTTCATACTGCTCAAAGGCATGGCTTCACCTGCCCATAAATAGCTGGACATGAAGATAAAGAGACTGTGTGTCTGTGTGGTATACCAAGGCCTGGGTCTCCAGCAGCCAGATGATTCAGCATCGGGTTTAAGGTCCCGATGAACAAGTAGTGTCTCAACTGCATCACTGAAAGCCACAGCAGATGCCACAAGAAGAACCAGGAAAGCAAACAGCTCTTGAAACTTCGCTCTGACAAAAACACATACATTCATGATGTTGACACTTCACATGATATATTTCACAATGAAGTATTAGTAAAAGTAAAAGGGGAATGAACATGTAATGCAAGTGCTTAGCCACATTATTGTCCTGAATTTTCTCTGCTATTGTGACTGTTGACTGTTGTTTCAAGCACATCAAGCACTTAGATAGGAAGTGACCATAAAATCACTAGTACCGGTAAATGCATTGTAAGAAATATCTTTACATGCTTCAGTTTACAGAAAATGTAATAACCAGCATAATAATACAGATGGTAAAACTGATAAATCAAAGTTAATCATAAGTGGCCTGTCCAGAAAGAAAATTAATTTATAAAATATAATCATATGTGATGTGTCACGCAGGCACTGGGAATGTCTTTTTATTATTTTCCACCATAAATTCTGTGGTAATTCATAGATTTACAATACTTGCGATAACCATACATTTGACAGTATTTTACAGTAAAATTGCATATAATATGATCTTAAGCCATTTACAGATATTCACCATATATGATAACATAACTTAGAGTAAACAAATTCATAGGTTTTGACTAACATTTTTTCAATAAACATTACAGCCCTTTTTTACAGTGTATGTTACATTGTAGTTTTATGTTTTTTTTTCTTAAACATGTGTGGGCTATTCTGACAGTCATCTTTATACTGCAAAGGTATATAGTAGACACAGCATATGTATTATAAAAAGGTGTGTTTAGTGGCACCGCTGTGAAGTGTTGAACATGTCCTTACCCATTTTGTCTGTGTTTTGGCCTTGAGGAGAAGTCTCTTTAAATGGCATTTCCTCCTCAGACTGGGAAGTTTGGATGTTTTTCTCTTCGACCTTTGCAACTGCATAATCCCGAGTCCCTCCACATTTCATCCTACCACAGTAAATAAGAGACAGACACAGGCAATGCATTGTTAGAGGAAACATATCCGGTATAGACAGTGAAGCATAAAGTCAATCTGTGAAGACCAAGCATTCTGAATACCATCATTCTGAAGTAGGTATTTCACCTTAAAAAAAACAAGACAGAGGGAAAAAAAGACAAAAGAAATGAGTAGATAATATGAAATTATTCTTTCATATTATACATTCATGCCCTTCTTCCATTCATTGCAAAAACACTTGAATGAGCTGTATTTAACCAAGTCTCTGCCTTTCTCACACAGAACAACCTACTCGACAGCAACCAGTCTGGTTTCAGAAGTGGACATTCAATGAGACCTTGCTCTCAGTTGTTGAAGCCCTAAGACTGGCAAGAGCGGATTTCAAATCTTCAACACTTATCTTGCTGGATCTGTCCACTGCTTTTGACACAGTTAACCACCAGATCCTCCTATCAACCCTATTAGCAAAGGGCATCTCAGGAACCGCACTCCAGTGGTTTGAGTCTTACCTCTCAGATAGGTCCTTCAAGGTATCTTGGAGAGGTGAGGTGTCTATACAACATCAAGAAGACCAGGCCCTTTCTTTCGGAACATGCTTCACAACTCCTTGTTCAAGCTCTTGTTCTGTCCAGGCTGGAATATTGCAATGCTCTCTTGGTAGTTCTTCAAGCCAGTTCTATCAAACATTTACAATTAATCCAGAACGTGGCAGCAAGATAAATTTAATGAGCCGAAAAGAACGCACGTCACACCTCTGTTTATCAATTTGCACTGGCTACCAATAGCTGCTTGCATAAAATTCAAATCATTGATGTTTGCCTACAAAACCAGTACTGGCTCTGCACACCTTTACCTAAATTCATTACTTCAGACTTCTGTGCCCTCTAGAAGCTTGCGTTCTGCAAGTGAACATGGCTTTATTGTGCCATCCTAACGAGGCACAAAATCACTTTCACAGACGTTTAAATTAAATGTTCCCTCCTGGTGGAATGACCTGCCCAACTCAATCCGAGCAGCTGAATCCTTAGCCATCTTCAAGAATCGGCTAAAAACACATCTCTTCCATCTTTATTTGACCCTCTAACTCTAGAACTCTCTATTCTAATTCTATTCTTTAAAAAAACGTGCCCCTTTTAGACTTGCACTCTATTCATTTACTAACTGCTTGTTTTCTTAAAAAAAAATCTACTTTTCTTTATTATACAACTAACAAAAGCAAAAAAGGCCTCTAACACTAGCTTGCTCTATTCTTTTTCGATTCTATCGGTTTTCTTTTTATTTATTATATAATTTTAAAAACCCTTGCTACATGTACTACGTTAAGCTAACTGAGACTTGTTATAGAACTTGCATATCATTGCTCTTTTGTTGATTTTGATTGCTTCCATTGTCCTCATTTGTAAGTCGCTTTGGATAAAAGCGTCTGCTAAATGACTAAATGTAATGTAATGAAATAATAAAACAATACGAAACAAAACTGCTCATCTTGGTGTTTGTTGTTTTCCTGCAGGCAAAGTTCTCATATTGTTTGCAGATAATACAAATATTTAAAAAAAACTCTTCTCTGCATGTTTCTGAAGGAAGAGGTGTTGAATGTTTTGTTTACCCATAGGTGTAGTTCTCCGGAAGCGGGTATGGGATATGTGTACGAGGCATCAGCACAAATGTCCGGAACAGATGAATGACACTGCAGCAGGCCAAGAAGAGGAAAGACCCTTGCAAAGAGACTCCATCCTCATACAGCAACTGAAAGAGATAGATGTGACCACCATGATTCAAGATTTCACCAGCAATCTTATCTTTCTCTCCAGTGTGAGGTATTTTATTTGCCTCTTACCTTGATGATGAGGAAAACTGCAGAGGAAGAATCAAATGCTCCATTATACAGAGTGATTATAGTGGAGCGGTGCGTGCCAAAGAGATTCGCCACCTAAAGACAGCAGATGAGATTTCTGCTTGATCATACACAAAACATCCTATAAGAGGACATTTCATAGTTAAAGGGTTCATATAATGGAAAAGAAGAAAAAGGACTATTTCTTGCTCTTTCGAAAAAAGAGATTTATGTTCTGTGTGGAGATATGCTTTACAAAGATGTTGGTCTGTATTGGACACAACAGCAACACCGCTTGCCTTCATAATCACTTCACAAAAGAAAAGGGTAGCCAAACATAAAGGTACTTTACATATAAAAGTTTTCTAAAACATGACATTTCATTCTAAAGGTCAGAAACAGACAGTGTTGGGGGTAACGCATTACAAGTCATGCAAGTTCCATTTGTAACAAAAATATCTGAGTCTTTTGTTATTAAAAATACTACCTTTACTGTCTTTATGTTTAGGGTCCCATATAATTATGATCTGATTATTTCCCTTTCAGATTCTTGATGAAGAGACATGTATACGCTCAACAACACATCACAGAAAAGAACATTTAAACAAGTCCAAAATTTATAGCCTTCATTCATGTTTCTCAGACACCCCAAACATTAACAACATACCATTCTTCATGGTGGATGTTTGATGAAACTTCTCAAGAAATTCTCTTTATAATCAATTCTCAGGTCACCTCATTGTTACACCTTTTTGAACTCTTAAAAAACCCTTGAGGTCTTTCAACCCACAAACATGGCTCATTAATGACAGAATCACAAGCTTTTTTTCTATGAGCATTCACTAATATTTTAGTGAAATTAACTTAACTAAAAGTAAATCTGACTGTTATGTTTTACAGTAAATTACTGTTTTTTTCCTTGAATTAATGGTAATCTACTGGCAGCTCGGTTGCCAGCATGTTACTGTTTTTCTACAGTTTGTTGGCATAAATTAATTACTGTTTATTACGTTTTTTTTGGGGGGGGGGGGGGTCATTTTACATATTTAACCCTTTAAACCCCACAGCACAATCCTCAGTTTTAAATGAACACATAATGTGTCCACACTAAAGTGTTAAAGTAACACCTAAAATCAGAATTACCAGCTTCACACTACCAACCGGATTGACTTTATTTCTGTCAGACGTCTAGAGAAGACGGCTACTCCATGATGATCAGCGTTTACTTTATTTGGGTTCTTGAACCTTGGCTTTTTAACATTAACTTTTCTTTGTCTGCTGTAACAACGTGTTTTTGAAAAATGTTTATGGCAAAAAAGAGTCAAAAAAGAAATCTGGTATTTCTTTATGAACTGATAATAATAATCATGCTCTTACTCCTGATTTACTGATTATAGCCATTGTCTCTTCTCCTACTAAATATTGATACTACAACAAAGAACAAGCACAGCAGAACAATCAATTATAAAAATTAACAAAACTTGTCATTTAGACACACACATCAAGTATCAGCATATGAATCTCAACAATGGTAGCAATCCACAAAATAAATAAACAGATCCATTCTAAACATCACAAAACATGCTACCAAAACTCAACACAAAAACAAAAGCAAAAATAAAAGCGCATAGTAAGAATTCAAGAAAATAAGTGGACAATTCAGTGCCGCAACTTATTCATGCCGCAATGCATGCTGGGAGTCATGGGTGAGTTTTGTACTGTGCTGGTACCCAGCATGCATTGCAGCATGAAGCTTTTGATGGTCACCATTTTTGAGATACATATGCTGATTCTTGATGTCTCTCTTTGAGTATAAATGATATAGTAGTTTGTAAATGCTTCTTATTGTCACAATAGTAATCAATGTCATGCTGTAAAACATTGGGAAATTATGTTTTTTAAACAGCATGCATATAATTATATGTCAATTTAGCAAATCATGACTATTTCAAATAAACATCACCTGACCAACCATAACCATTCCGCCATGACAAATGCATCTAAAAGACACAGTGGCTGTGGCTGAAGTCTGTTGTAGTTCTTGTGTTTGTCTTGTTTCTCTTTCCAACAGTGAATCTGCTCATTAACAGCAGGTGCTCATCAGTGTCTGAATTCACTCATTAGTTTTCATTCTCTCTGTCAGGTGGACTATACTCATGTAAGGAATTGTGAATGAGGGACATATGCTGATTCTTGATGTCTCTCTTTGAGTATAAATGATATAGTAGTTTGTACATGCTTCTTATTGTCACAATAGTAATCAATGTCATGCTGTAAAACATTGGGAAATTATGTTTTTTAAACAGCATGCATATAATTATATCTATATACATATGTCAATTTAGCAAATCATGACTATTTCAAATAAACATCACCTGACCAACCATAACCATTCCGCCATGACAAATGCATCTAAAAGACACAGTGGCTGTGGCTGAAGTCTGTTGTAGTTCTTGTGTTTGTCTTGTTTCTCTTTCCAACAGTGAATCTGCTCATTAACAGCAGGTGCTCATCAGTGTCTGAATTCACTCATTAGTTTTCATTCTCTCTGTCAGGTGGACTATACTCATGTAAGGAATTGTGAATGAGGGTGTAAGTTGTGATTTGAAACACAGTCTCTGAGTGTCGACTTTGAACGCCATTTATTCACGATATATAGCAGCAGGCCACTTTCTCGAAAATGACAAATATTACCCAGAATGCACTGTTTTAATGGAAAACGGCATGTTACTGTCAAAAGTTGCCCTTTTTTTTTTTACAGCAAAAAACAGTGCAGCATGTGAAGGTCAAATCAGAAAGTACCCTCATATCCTGAGAAAACCCAGTGAAAAGCTTTTTTGAAGCAGCTCATGCATTTGTTGCTACATATCACAATGGGTTTGAAGCCTCACTGCATAATGAAATATTCAGTACCTGTATGTTGGTCATCAAGAACAGAATTCCTCCCACAGCAATGAAGGACAGAGCAGGGAAGAGGAGGACGGAGTTCACTGCAGGAGTGAAAATCGGTTATGACTATAAACAAACTGAAATGTATCAATATACCAAAGGTCAAATAAAGATAAAAAAACTATTTACCAGGACTTGAAAAGGCTATTAACAACATTCCTGCAGTGTAAACCGATCTGTAAAGTAAATCATAACATGAGAATATGAGAGTGGTTAAATAAATAGGTGACAGAGCCTACTTGATGTTTTCTCTGCCCTTCTGTCTCAAAACATATGGAAACATAAGGGATTGAGTTATCTATACTGATTTAGATTTATGAGCCGAGAGATAAAGTGTCCCCAAAAATATTTGGACACTTAAGCCACACATAAAATACCTTTTAAAATTTTGGGGTCAGTAAGATTTTTTTAATACATTAACACTTTTATTCAGCAAGGATGCATTAAATTGCTCTTTCGAAATCAAAGAGACTTATGTGCTGTGTGGACATATGCTTTCAAAGAGGTTGGTCTGTATTGGACACAGCAGCAACACTGCTTGTCGTGATAATCACTTACAATTCAACATACATAAATCACACATAATTCAAATATAAAATAGTTATTTTAACTTGCAATAATATTTCACAATAGTATTGCGTGACTTGAACTTGTGTCCAAATACATTTGGTGACAACAACATTCAATCATTTCTGCCTTATTGTGCAATCTCTAAAGAGGCTGAAAACATCTAAATTCTCAGCACACCACAGATCACTCAGTCCTGCCAAATTTCCCTCCTTCCCTCAGTCGCAATATCACCCCTCTGTTCTCACACAATCTCTCTACTTTTTCCCACAGCAGAAATGAATGTCTATTTTAATACACTTCCCTCCTAATTGCTTTTGAGGCACAAACATATGGATAACAGGAGAGTGAACAGCCTTACAACGGACTTTAACCATTACTACACTCAAAATATAGCAATTTTGTGAATATAGTCATAGTGTTTATAAAAAAAAACACTAAAAAGTCCTTAAAATAAAATGATACAAGGACACACATCCCTTGCAAAAAGTACAACAACAATATGATGGCATCAGGTGGTAATACCCTAGTACTGCCTGATTACCATATTTGTTTACCATGGTATGCCGCAAGATATGCTGGAATACTTCACAGAATATCATAGTACTACCTTTTTTGTGTGGTTGTGATATTGGTATGCAGGACAGGCATCTTTAGCCAGACAAATACACAGCACTTTCACAGTTCCTATCACAAGACCACTCAAAGATTTCCTCTTATGTGTGACCATCTACGTCAAACTCCTCAGAAATGTAAGTTCCATGAGCCAAGGAGGCTCTATTTTAAAAGACTTTATACCAAAGTTTAAATGTAATGAAAAGTGCATTTAGACATGTCTACAGATCAACACTTTTGGGAAAAGGTCTATTTTAATTAAGTGTGCTTTTCAGTTGTATCATCCTGATATATTTTTGACTTTATGTCCCCCAAAAATGGCTAAATAAATTTTAATCCAGAAATTAAAAATGTACTCATTATAGATGCATTATATAAGTAATTGCATGTATAAATTGCATTTTGAATAAATAGATCTGGACAAAATGTGCCAAGTCATTGACCCTTTTATTCTAGGCAGAAAAAAAATCTATATTATTTAATTTTATTTATTTACTTACTTACTTACACTCTAGAAAATAAAGGTGCTTCACGATACCATAGAAGAACCTTTTTTTTTCTTTTTCTAAATGGTTCGAACCTTTAACAACCGAAGAACCTTTCTGCTTCACAAAAGGTTATTTGTGGTGAATAAAGGTTCACTCCAAAAAAAAAAAAGATACTTTAAACTAACTTATTTTTGGTTTTATTAGTGTTAAAATCATGGCTAATTTTCGTAAGGGAACATGGAAACTCAGAGAGAATAGGCTATTAGATGCGTTGGTGGTGGTGAAATTTTAATTATTTTACTGATTTGGTGTTATCAGATACTAACGTAATATGAGCATCATATGAGACAATGTCATACGATGTTGTAATTAAGACTTGCCGAAAATAAAATCTATAAAATACTTAAAGCATATCACAATGTTAGTTTAAACATTTAACCTAGATAAATGTGCGCTATTAGGTGCATATAGTCAAGTCAAGTCAAGTCTGCTTTATTGCTTCAACATCAGTGGAAACAAATTAAATACGCCGTAATTTTTGCTCATAAAGGTAAGAATAATACATTGTTCGGAACTGTAAAAGGTCTATTTTTATTTGTGTGCACTCACAATATCAAGAAAACATTGTGCTTTTGTAAAATAAAGAAAACAAATAGGATGCGCTTGCCGTCTCGGTCTTGAACAGGAGCGCTTCACAAAAATGCACCGAAACTCAGCAAATATTTTCCTTACAGTCATGATGAATATTTCTATCGAAAGCTTTAAATGGCTACAAAACGAAATAATTCAAATCCAAAACAAAAACTCAAAAACAAAGGTGTGTTTGAACTAAGAATCTGATGTTTCCCTCAGGTGTAGATCTGCTGAATATGCAAATGGTTCCATAACTTCATTCCTTATTTCCTCTTTACTGCTTAAGCTTTAACCCTTTCCTATACCAACTGTATGTGTGTGTGTATGTGTATGTTAGACCAGTTTAAGTGTTTATGTGTATGTTAGACCAGTTTAAGTGACACAACTTAGCATAGTTAATCTTAGGCTGAGCTACCAAATAGCTTTAACAATTAGGGATTAGCACTCTTTAATTGAAGCTTTTAAATACAGCATGTGTGTATGCAGTGTGAAGTAATTTGAATTTAACCTAATCCCTGGTTTCTGATTTTTCCCTTTCTTTTCCTTTTTTTTCTTCTCTTTCTATGTTTCTCAATCTTTAATTCGTCTCAGCGAATTTAACTATCTTAGATGTATCCTTCCTGAATGCTATGGCTCAGTTACTAGCTAATTAAATCTAAATTTAATTACATTTTAATTATGTTATTGGGTGCTTTTAGTGGCACAGTGAATAACGCGCTACAGAGGGCGGGGCACACATATGGCATGGCAACAGCATGGGAGCTGAACACGCATCAGCTGTGACCAGACATGGTGTGTTGCCCAACACAAATCAGTTGATCACGAGTGCTACTATTTGTTCCTAATACCAGATTGATTACTTTGTTTTAATACTAGCAGTCAGCTAATTTTAAATCCATTTACATGTATGCCTCCTTTGTTTTGATGTTCTCTATGAACCTCAAAAGGAACCAGAGACACTTCTATTTTTGATTTGTTTATTTTCAACATGTGCCCTAATTTTATGACCCTGTTACACAAGTCATCTAGACAAACACTAGGGCGTAACTATCATCCTGAGCACCAAATAATAAGCATAATCTGAATAGAAATGCTCTCCTTTTCCTTCTGCTTTTCCCTTTTCTCCTTCACTTCCTCAGAGATTGAGCCTGTTGGGATCCATCAGTAAATTCTGAGTGATAATTTGACAATAAGAGTAGTCTTAAGTCATCGATCAAAACCCTGTTTACACCCTTTTCAGCAAACATATGCTGACCCAAACCTATCTTAG